AGCGCTCCATGGCAATGGACCTAGGTATTTGCAAGACCGCCTCCTACCAAACACCTCCCTTCGACCAGTCCGCTCCCACAGAGAGGGCCTCCTTAGGGTGCCGTCGGCCAGACAATGCCGGCTGGCGACCCCCAGGGGGAGAGCCTTCTCTGTGGCAGCTCCTGCCCTCTGGAATGACCTACCCCCCGACCTACATACAACTACGGACCTGCGCCTCTTCCGCCGAGCCTTGAAAACCCATCTATTCCATGCGGCCGGCCTGGCGTAGTTTTAATTATGTTTTTAGTAAAGGTTTTTATATGGGGTATTTTAGAGCAGGCCTTTTATTTAATATTTATTGTGATTTTTATTATCGCCTGTTCACCGCCCTGAGTCCCGTAAGGGAGATAGGGCGGTATATAAATTTAAATAATAATAATAATAATGATGATGGTTCACTTAGCACGAGACACAAATCCAGCGATTTGTGGTGCATTCAGCAAACTAGGGTTTAGCGTGATAAGTGATTTTCTTTTTCGGCCATGATGGTTCCTCCCTTAAAAAGCACATTTCCTCTGCCTGGGTCAATCATTTCAAGGAGCAATCTCTTGAAATGATTAAAAAAAAATGATTTCTCAAGCTTTGTGGTCCTGAATGGAGCTGAAGCAGAAATAGGAGGCACCAACTATTGCATTAGCTAATGGTCTATGGGGAATGACCTTGGAAGACTTGGCCTATTCCAAGGGAACTATCAGATAAGAGACAGCATAGCAGTAGCTGGGTAGTGGGTGGAATCAGAGGCTCAGGAGAGACACCCCCCCTTCCCCCCTTAGTTTCTGGGCAGTCAAGGAAACAGGACACGGAGAGAATTATCCTTTCAGACGTGTAAGATTCTGTCAATGTGGCTTTACAATAAAGCAGAATTAGTCCCATCTGGTTGTTTCAAAGGTGCTTTTTTTAAAAAAACAACAACAGGCAAAACTGGATTGTTGTCCAAACTGCCCACAACTTGAACTTCTAAATAGAAACGACCCTTGGCTCCATTTGTTGAGAAAGGCATAGATCCAAATGTATTGCAGCATTTTGCAGAGCCAGAACTGAGACTCAGAGGCCAAATTCCCTAAGTTCATTAGCAGCTGTTGAGAAATAACCGTGAAGAAATAAACACAGCCTGTTTCCAGCCTCCCTTTTGAATGTGTTAATCCTTGAATGTGTTTCATCATGCCTGCCTTGCTTGTCAAATTATCTTCAGGTTCCACAAGTTGCGTTTCTCATTTTAGGTCCTCTCTCAGCTCCATCAGCAAGCTCTACTTTTAATGGGCTAAATAAAAGCTTGCCTTTTTTTTTATCCCAGAGTGGCAATAAGCAGCCAAGTTCCTTTCTTATTGCACAGTAAATAAAATTACAACAGGACCGTCGTGTGTCACGCGGGGAAATGTTTGATAGTAAAGATCGGCATACTTTGACTGAAGCACAAATGGTTTTTTTTTATCAGTACGGGAAGAGGCCAGCCCCTATATGGTCTGCCACATTTATAAATTAATCAGTGATACCAATATTCGTTATTCTGAATCTGGAATATGAAATTTTGGATCATTAATATCTAGAACCAACTGCCTGATGCACTGTTGGAAAAAGTAGTCAGCCTTTATTCTTGCAATCGTGTTAAGTTTGTTTTACTGATATTCTAGTATCAATGTGGCTGACAGGCTAACAGGAAAATGAGAGCGCCATTCAGTGTTTGCAAAACGTATTTTTAGTAAATTTTTGAGATGTTAGTTCTGGTTAAGAAACTTGTGAGTTTTGATCAGCTTAAATCAGGGATGGGCAACTCTACGACCCGTGGACTTCAACTCCCAGAATTCCCGAGCCAGCTGTGCTAGGCCATCATGTGACTGCTGGTGTTGCTTTAGCAGGTAACACGAATCTAGCCAGTGATAGTTTATTCAATAAACCAAGATTTAATACATCATGCCTTAGTTGGAGTAGGTAAACCCATGGTCAGAGTTTGTTAAATTCCCAGCCAAATAAATCCATTAAGTCATTGACGTTCTGGGTTCAAAGCTTTTTATTTTAGTTCAAAATGACCTTTTCCCGAGTAGAAAGGACTTTGATTCTGCTTCTTTGTTCCAGGGATGGAGACCAGGAAGCTCATAACCGCTACCGACAACCAGTACTCTGGTATGCTTTTGAAAGCTCTGGATGAGCAGCGAGGCCTCGGACTTTTCTGCGATGTCACCGTTATCGTGGAGGACCGCAAATTCCGAGCCCACCGGAATATCCTTTCGGCTTCGAGCACTTATTTTCACCAACTCTTTGCAGTGGCCGGACAGGTCGTTGAGCTGAACTTCATCAGGGGGGAGGTTTTCGCCGAAATACTCAACTATATCTATAGCTCAAAAATTGTCCGGGTGCGAGCGGATTTGCTCGATGAACTGATTAAATCGGGGGAGTTGCTCGGGGTCAAATTCCTGGCTGATCTGGGTGTTCCTCTGCAACAGGTGAAGAACATGTCTTCGGATGCCAGCACTTCCGAGCTGCCCATCCTGGAGGCAAATGGCCCCAAAGTGCAGAAGCCCCCAGCCCCACCGGAGACCCAACACATAAAACTCGGGAAGCCCATCATTACGGAATCCTTTTCTCTCTACAGGGAGTCGTGTGACTCCGCCAAGATCACCATTAGTGATTCTGATGATGATGATGATGACGACGACGTCATTTTCTGCTCAGAGCTGGCACCTGCCAAGGACCGTTCGGTAGAGGCCAAAGTCATAACCCAGATCCCGCCTTGCCCGAATCCCACCGCCTCTTCTGAGATGACCAGCTCTATCAACAGTAATTCTGCCCCTCAACCAGTGGCAACTGCAGCTCCAAGGCTTGACTCGTCTACCCTTCTGCCCAGGCCGGCTGAAAACCAAAAGCCAGTTGATACCCTTCCTCCCCCAGCTCCACAGTCCACAACTCCAAAGGTCCTTGTGCTCAATTCATCCCAAGTTGGCGCCACACCAGGGGTCGGTTCATCGCACGAAATAGAGGTATTGCCGATTCCCGAAGAGAATCGGCAGCCATCCATCCATGATTCCTTAACCGACATGGAAACCAACGTCATTGACGAGGAAGAAGAGGAAGATGTAGAAGATGTGGAAGATGATGACGACATCCTGGGTTTATCCAGTCCGGGTTCGGCAAGCAGCAGTTCTTTGGTTCAGCAGCCCACGACTCCGAAGCCGGCCGCTGCAGCCGACAGCCCAGCAGCCCAGAAGAAGCAAGTGGTGAACTTTCCACCAGAACCCATCTCCCAACCCAACGAATTCAAGATCCAAATCTCAGACGTTCTTTCCGGAGGCCTCAAGGACGCTCCTCCCAACCTTGGGCCAAAGCACGTCATGGAAGGGCAGAAGACCATCACGTTAGATAAAGCCACCGGAATCGAGAGCTTGTCGACCGGCTGCAAAGTGTACGCAAACATCGGCGAAGATACCTATGACATCGTAATCCCGGTGAAGAACGAGGCTGATGGAGAAGTCCACCTGGACAACATCCCACGCACCTCAGGCCACGAGTCCACTAACCGCAAGCGCTTGAAAGTCAAGCATGACGACCATTACGAGCTGATCATGGATGGGAAAGTCTACTACATCTGCATTGTGTGTCGGAGATCCTACGTCTGCCTGACCAGCTTGCGGAGACACTTCAACGTTCACTCCTGGGAGAAGAAATACCCCTGTCGCTACTGCGAGAAGGTTTTCCCTCTGGCGGAATACCGCACTAAGCATGAGATCCATCACACCGGTGAGCGGCGGTACCAGTGTTTGGCTTGTGGGCAATGTTTCATCAATTATCAGGTGATGGCCACCCATCTGCGATCTGTTCACAGCCAGGATCCTTCAGGCGAGTCCAAGCTGTACCGTCTGCACCCGTGTCGGTCTTTGCAGATCAGAAATTACGCATACATTTCGGGGAATTCCAACAATCTCCCAGTCGCCAGTGACAATGCCCTGGTTTATCCCGGCAATCCTTCAAAAGAGACCACTCAGGAACCGGTCCCGAACCAACCCGTGAAGCCAATGACTTGGGACGACATCTTTGTTCCGCAGGCAAACGAAAGCCTCTTTAAACAAAACCCATCGGACGGCACCTCCGAATTTGAGTTTGTGATACCAGAATCTTACTGAAGCTGTGGCGGATGGAAATGTTTCGTTTGGTTATCCAAAGGGGGAGGAAATTTTTTATTATTATTATTATTTTTAATAAAAAGCAGAGCCCTTCTCTAAAAAAGGGCTGCTGGGAAGGTATCTAGAGAGCATCTCATACGACGGAACACGTCCATGTGCTTCTTCGACCTTTAGCATACGGTAGTGTTTTAAAATTAGATGATGTGTATAACTTTTGAACTCGTGAACAAAAATTGGTCAGGAAATAAAACGATACTTGAATACAGGAAACGATGCTTAGGAAGTTAGGTGTTCGGTGTTTATTAGTATGGATCAAAAAAAATCTAAAAAGTTACCGTTCTGAGACTTTCCCCGTTAGGTGTAGAATAACAGGAATATATACTTTGAACCACTTCTTTTTTTTTCATGTTAGCACTTTAATGCTGAAAAAGGTTCCATTGTGACTACGAAACAGCAACCTGGCTAGATTTTCTTGCTAATGTGGGCAGGGGAGGGAGGGGGGAAACTTTTTTTTTTCCTTTTTAAAATATAAATCAGTGCGTTCCTACAATTGAACATTGCGAGGGTCCAAATCATGCTTGTTCTCGCAAAACCAGGCTTACGGTTAAACGAGGCATAGCCATTTTGCCTTGGCTTTGGAATAAGCATTGTAATTGTTCGTAAGGCATGTGGGCCATCCTTAAAGAGAAGGGAGACGTATTCTCCAAGGATAACTTGTTCTTTTTATCCAGGGGGATTAAGATAACTCAGTGGCTGGACCATTGTATGTCATCTTTTGTGACTCGATAGGGTGGGTGGAAGTCATTACGACAGCCAGATTTTTTTCTACGGAGAAACAGGTTGATCATTTGGAACGAACCTAACTTTCCCCCTGTCTTATTCCCTGGGGGGGGGGGTGTAAAAAATTAGAAATCTAATTTTGTAGATTTTGCCCTGAACAACGCAGGAGCTTCCTACCAAAGCAGCCTTAGGAAATGACGCTTTTGGCTCTGTAACTGAGTTGGTAGTTTCTAAAAAGAGCCTAGTTAGTTCGTTTTTGCAGCAGCCACACAGAAAAGGGGTGGTTTTTTGGGGGGAGGGGGGGCTAGATGTGGTAGTTTGAATTTCCTTTTGTGGTCACGCTTTCTTTCATTGCAAATTGGGAATATATTTTTCCAGTGCTCGGCGATAGGCAGGATCTGGATTGGAGCAAACGACAGAACTGGTCAAGAGCCATGTAGTTTCTTGTTGGTTTTTTTTTGTCAAATAACTTCTTGCCTTTTTTTTGTTTTTGTAAATTATAATATTTGGAGTGGGTGTTATAGAAGATTGAAAAGAACTGTGATGAATAAAACTAGTTAGCAGTTGGTGGTTTGTCATGAAAATCTCCGGTCATCACTTTAGCTATTTTTTTTCCTTCTTCTTCTTCTTTTCCCCTTTTCTGAAGTCTCTGTTTTGTATTCCCAAGTAGTCATTCCTAGTCCTTAATTTTGTGTCGTTTCTTTTTCCCCCCCTTTAATGTTGTGTTTTCAGCCAGCAAGTGAAGTTGCTGTGGAGTAACAAAAGAAAAATCATGTACGAAAATCATGATGAAAAGATCAAATCGCGTTTCTGTTAATGGGAGAAAGCGAACTAACTATGTATGCTGGGGTTTTTTTTCTGTAGAGTGAGACTACGTTTGATTATGGATAGGTTTCTTTTTTTAAAAAAAATATATGGAAATGATACTTTAAAATTGGCGTTGCCTATTTAAATGAATAATTTTCTGGGACTTTTTATTAAAAAAAAAATACCCTATTAGTCGGCGTCCAGTATGTTTGTCATATTCAGGAGACCCTGGTGTCCATAGCATTTTATAAACTAAACGAAACTCTTCCTTCCTTCAGCTGCCTGCAGCGCTGAGTAAAACCCACTATGTTGCTGTATGTCATAGTCAAAACTTTCAGCTTGAACGTGCTACCCCAGGAAATCCCGATAACCAGTAATTAAATCAGTGCCTGTAAAAAGTGTTTTGTTTTTTCTTTATTTGCAAACTGAAAGACGGGGATTCAAAGCTGTCTTATCTTGTTAGAAAAACTTTTGCATGTCTCAGGTATTTTGGTTGTCTTAGGAAGGGAAGTTACCATTTCCAAAGTTAAGGATTTTTATGAAGTAGCTGTAAAGCCTTTTTTGCTTTATGGTGTTGGAAATATGCTGGGTCCTTTTTGATTGGCACCATTTACGGTTTTCTTTTTTTTGTCTTAAGGCACCTGGCAGTTACTGATTCGAGAAATGCCTTCTCCTTTTTCAGTTTCCCCCTTTTTGTTTTGTAAAGATCATGACATCAGCTCCAGAAAGAACACATCTAAATCATATTACTAAATGGGGAACCTTGCTTCCTCCAAAAAAAACCAACCCCAAAACAAAACACATTTGCTAAAGGGATTAATATGAAGTAAAGCCCCGAGCAGAAATCTAACAGCAGGTTAAATTATTCCAAGCAACTCTTACTTGGAAGTAATGATACTCAATTTCAGTCGTTCCACTTGAGTTCGGATGTACCAATTTGAGAAATGTCCCATCCTGAACAGAGACACTTCTGCAAGAATCCCTATTTTTATTTTTATTTTAGGTTTCCCCCATTTAAAAACTTGCATGCAGCAAAACAGGATAAAAAAATTAGCACTGTCCACATTTGCTGGATTGCTGCAGAGCAGATATTTTGCCTCTGGGAGAATTCAGATGGCTGTGCCTGCCTGAAGATTATATAAATCCAAGATTTTGCCACCTTGGGGGGAGGAGGGTTTGCGCAGATACTTCTGAGTTATAAATTCGTACGTTGTGGGCAGGAGAGCGAGAAAGAGAGCTTGACTCCTTCTCAAGGGTTGCTTTGCGCCAAATGCGTGTTTGTGCATTCCTGTATATGGTGATGAGAATCATAAGAAAAATCAGTACTCTGCTTAATTTATTTCCTATATCGAACCGTATCACTTATTAGCAAAACGAAAGATGCAAAAAGGAGCGGTGGTTTATTTCACGACAATTTTTACAGAGCGGTATTATTATTGTTGTTATTTTTAATTTTATCAATACAGTACTGTAATGTATATAGTTGTACAGCCTTTTCCTTAACATACCTTTTTGGGAATTTGTGTTCTGCTTTTCATTAACCAATACTTGACCTTTAGTTCTTAGAGCTTTGTATGGCAAAAAAATAAATAAACACTTTCAATTCTGCTGCGGTGCAAACATTTTCTTTTTTTTCTCTCTTCTCTTTTTCTTTTTACAACAAAAGCATCCCTGTCATTTGGAATCAAATCTGTTGTCCTTTTTTGCACAGACCTGCCGGCTAAACTGAAAGGCATCATTGCTTAGTCAACTGTGCTGGTCGAGGTATGTGGCTAGGATCCTCACCCAATCTGCTCACTGGTCGTTTATGTATAAAGTAGTCCTCCACTTACGACAGCTCATTTAGTGACCGTTCAAAGTTACAAGGCCACTGAAAAAAGCGACTTACAACTGTTTTCACACAACCATTGCAGCATCTCCCACCGTCAGGTGATCAAAATTCAAGACGGTTGGCAACTGGCATGTACTTATGACGGTTTCAGCTTCCCGAGGTCACGTGATCCCCTTTTGCAACCCTCTAACAAGCAAAGTCCATGGGGGAAGCCGTATTCACTTCACAACCGTATTGCTAACAACTGCAGTGATTTACTTCACAACTGTGGCAAGACAGGTCGTAAAACGTGGCCAAACTCGCGCAACTGTCTCGCTTAGCAACATACATGTTTAGCTCCATGGTGGCTGTAAGTCGAGGCACCAGGTTAAATCTTCGACTTACAACTGGTTGCTTAGCCACCGAAGTTAACAATCCATCCAATAAATGGGACTTAGGACCAGATTTGAAGTGGCGACGGTCAGACTTCCTCGGCAGTCACGTGACCAAGCTTCAGATGACATTCATAGCCGTCTGCAGGAACCCATAGTCATGTGACTATAGTTCATGATGGCTTGGCCGAAAACTGGCAACTTTCATTTCCGGCAAAACTTCCCCCACGGCGAACCATCCGTTTGCTTAACAATCCGCAGCGCTCAATTCACCCCTGCAAATTTGCTTCCAGTCCAATCCGTTTTACAGCTGTTGCAACATACATATGTCCATAATGGAGAGGCTTCATTATAGTCACAGGGTCAAGGACTACCCGTACGTTGAGTTTGCAATGATGTTCAAGAGTCAACTTGAGGTAGCCTCAAAAGATTCAGGAACCTGCCTTCTTAACTTGCCACCAGTTGGGGGCACGTCGGTTAAAATTAAAACATCTTGGGTTTTCAAATTCGAGAAGATGGGGAGTTTGGGAAGTGGCACATGCATGAAGCTACCATGGGCAGGTCTTACAAGAAAGGGTGGTTTATTTGTAGCCTTCATGAATCACGGACATATCTTGCATGGCCTCGAGATTGAGTCACGGCTCCTGTCAAACTGTTTTTAGCGCAGCTTAACCCAGAAATGCTATATATAAAACATCCTGCTCTTCAGGTGCGGGATTTCCCCCCCCCCATCACAATTTGTGCTTCTAAATTTTCAGCAAAGCACCTCTGTTCTCTGTGCAGCAAGTAAACTGAATGTGCAAAGCAGGCAAAGCATTAGAAATATTCATTTATTCATGCTAAGTTTCTGGGTGTGCCCATGCACACTCACACACACATATAAAAGAGGCACCTGTTCCAAGTCTTCTTTTTTTTTAAAGAAAAACCAAATTTAGATTGTAACGGCCATAGCTGTTGAAGAGACTAATTCTCTTTTTTCGTACCAGGCTTCTGCTAGGTGGTGAAGGGATTGCAAGACTGCCTGGGAAACTGTCACGGAACATTGAAAATGAACATCACATGACTGCAGCAGCAGCCCTACAGCACCGCAGCAATCAGTAGCACTGAAACAGCCACACTTCCCCCAAATTTCATTCCCTAAAGGAGTTATGGGGTCCTGGATTTTGGACACATTCTGTAAATTAGCCTATTTGAGGTACCTTGGTTCAAAA